CTTCATTCATAAAAGTTGCAAAAGCAATGGGGATTCAAAGCCATAACGGCCAGTCCCAAAATAAAAACACGGCCACAGTCGGCCAAAATATAAAGATTAAAAATAAAAAGTCTCACACGAGAATAAAACTTCAAACATCCTCCGCATGCGGAGTCTCATCCTCGCCCATCACTTAATCGGAACTCGGAACCATACCTATACCTCCGTCATCAACCTCTAGAGCCTTTCTCTCGTCTGTACTTGGCTGAAGGGTGCACTTGGATCTCAGGCCAGCAAGAGCCGAACCAAAGTCGCCCTCCTCCTCCGTTAACTCCGCTTTGCGAGCAAGAAGTCTAGCTTCCTCCAATCGTGGAGACGGAGGTGCATCATTCAGAAAAAGCTGAACCTCGCTCATCCCACCCTCAGCAGTTTCCAAGGCAACGTCCCTATCATGGATGATCGACAACCTATCAAGGGAATCGGCAATCCTTGAAATACGGGCCTCCAATTCGGAAGGGGCACCCTCCTTGACCCCTTCAATCTCGCGGACGTCAACCCCTTGATACTCTTAACCTTGCGTTGAAGTCTGCGCAGATCCGAAGCTTTAGCCTTCTTCGCATCCTTTGCCTTGAGAAAGGAACTCACAGTCTTCCCAAGATAAGGAAATACTAACCGCCTAGAGGAGAAGTATATAAGCATAAGGTCGAAGTCAAGAGGGGCAGAGGTTTTTAGACCTAAAAAAACTGCTGTTAGCGTAGGCAAATTTAAGACTTGGTGGTTATACTAGCAAGTCGGATTCTTAAAACGTTTGGTTGTTTAAGTTCCGCGATTCTCTTTGTAACAGCTTTCAATCTTTTTTATCAATAATAGCCTTTGCGCAATCTCTTCATCTGTATTATGTTCATCTTTTTTTTTTATTGTGTTTCCGTAGAGATTAGACCTCTGGAGAATTAGGGTTTTCGCTACATTTCCAAATTTGATAGAAAATCGACAGTGTGAATTTTGGTTCCCACAAACTCTAAGGGAGTTTAGCTCAAGGTTAGTTTACCTTGAAGAGTTCATAATATATAAGAGAGCAGGGATTCGAGAGGGTTGCGTTTGTATTACACGTTTGCGAATTGGTTGGAATTAGCTTTCTCATTATAATGGATTCAATTTCTGGACAAGGTTCCGGCGAGTAGGAAACGACCTCGTTAACAAACTCCGTGTGTCATTTACTTTCGGTTCTATAATTCTTGACTCAACCACACTTACAATTGGTATCAGAGCAGGTTCTCGCTAGAGATTCAGTTTAGTCTCAATTAAATCAAGGGTGAGTTCAGAAACTGCTACAGCAGAGTTTGGCGACCAGTCTTGATAGAGGCTTATCAAGAAGGAACATTTATGACAAAGCCGCTGAGACTGGATTCATCTAATTATGGATATTGGAAGGTCTGTATGCTAGCTTTTATCAGTGGTCTTGATGAGGATTGTTTGGAATTCAATTGACGATTGTTGGAGTCCTCTTGTGATGCTTAATGAAGAGAAGGTTAAAGTTCTCAAGACGAGAGATAAGTGTACTATTGCAGAGAAGAAAGCTTCAAACTACAAATCTAAGGCGAAGACAACTATTTATAATGTTATTGATGCGAGCTACTTTAAGCTGATTTTTCAATGTGTGCCAGCTTAGAAGGCGTGAAAGGCATTAGAGAGTATGTTCAAAGGTACTACAAGTGTCTAGATTTGAGAATCTGAAGTTGGATGGAGAAGAAACTGTGGCTTAGTTTAGTGCTAGATTGTGTGACATATCTAATGAGTGTTTCGCTTGGAACGCAGTACAGGTACAAGAAGCTGTTAAATAAGCTAAAGAGGTAGATGCCAATGAAGTTTGAGTCAAAGATTTCTACTATTGAAGAAGTTCATAATCTAGATTAGATGGGTTTTTGATGAGTTTGTTGGGATTCTTCAAGCTTTTAAGATGAGCAAGGCATATAGAGATAAAGATAAGAGTAATGATAAAGATAAGAAGAAAGAAAAACCTTAAGGGATTGCTTTAAAGGGTTCATCTTCTGAAATTTCTATAGCGATGATCACTAGGTAGTTTCCTAACTACTTGAATCAACATCATGGCAAGAAAAAGAATTGAAAAATATATGAATCAAGATGTTCATCATCTAAGATACAGTGCTTTGAGTGCAAAGGGTTTGGACATATTCGGTCTGAATGTGTAAACCTATAGAGGCATGAGAAGAAGAGGAACAAAAAGATTGAATCTGACACTAATTCAGATGATGGTGAGAAGCTGAATTTTTGTGTGGCATTCAGTACTTTGATTCTAGTTTTGAGAAGAAGTCTACGGAAGGATCTGCATCAGAGTCTGTGTCAGGTTCTACACGTGGAGGTGATGATGTTTCTAAAAGTGATGATGATGCTAGAATTTCGATTAAGTAGATCCTGCTAAGAACTACGAGACATTGTATACATATTGGCGCAAGATAGTTAAGGAGAATTCTGTGTTGTCAAGGAGAAGGTTAAGCTGGAGGTTCAGATTGGTCAAGCACTAAAATATGGTCCAGAGAAAGAAGAAGAAGTAAGGCAAGCTAGAGTTCAACTTGAATAAACTCATAGAGGTTTAAAGATGCTTAATAATGACACATATCAGTTGGATCATCTTCTCAGCATTGGAGAGAGTTATCGGTGTGGTCTTGGATTCAAAGGTGAATCTTCTAAAATTCGATGTGTTTTATGCCTTTTGAAACAATATAGAATGTAGCGACGTGTGCTACAAAGCCAGTTGTGAAGAGTTCGACAAACATTACAACAAATGGTAAAACTGCAACTGTTACAAGAACTGGTGTGAAGACTATGACTGCTACTGTGGCTGCTATAGAAGATGCTGCAAGGGCTGATACAGAGATTGCTACAAGGAAAACTCAAGGAGTGCAGAGGACACCTCGACGACCTTTTGTATATGTTTGTCATCATTGTGGGGTCGTTAAGCATATTAGACCAAGGTGTTTCAAGCTGTTGAGAGAGAAGCATCAGATGGAGTTGGCGTATAGTATGATCACAAAATCCAACATGTTATTGTGGGTTCAAGGTCATGTTCGGCGTGATGGTTTTAATTCTGGTCATGGAGCTAATCATGGTGGGATAAGGGTCCGGAATACGTGGTCTAGAAGATATGATCATTATGGAGATGGTGGAATAGGATTTTATCCTCAATATGGAGAATGAAGTTCATCTTCATATTAGTTTTTGACCATGATTTGACTCAAAAGAGAAGATGGAAGATGCAGCTTCAAGCCAGAGTTGTTAAGTCACATGCCAAAAAGGGAGAGATTGAAGAAGTTATTTTCTACGGTGTTATGTACTAGTTCGTGACGTACTATAGGAGGTAGTTCAAGATGTGTGTCAAGACGTAGGTCAGGAACTCGATTTGTGAAGTTTCTTACAAAGAATATATCAATTGTGATTGCATGTCTAATTGGAGAAAAGACAAAGAAAGAGAATATCTTGTTCAAGACAAATGACGTTTTCCGTTAAGTTAAATGGAAATGCTTGGAGAGGAAGTGTTACTTTCAAAAGAATAAGAAATTTCCTAACATGGAAATGAAAATTCATTAATGTGCAATTAATGAATTTGGAGAAAAAGTTTATGGCTTCTTATATAAGGAGGGACGTGTCTTATGAGAAGACAAGCACCCAAAGATTAAAGTGAGAGGGAGTTTTCATTGTTTGATTGTTGTGTGTTGACTTTGGTGTTGACGTAATGTCTGACGGAGTGGTCTGTTGTCTTGGTGTTGTGACGTTGGTGTTGACGTTGTGTTTAGCAGAGTTGTCTATTGTGTTGTGGTGATCAAGGTGTGCGTTGGTGTTAAGGTGCTCACTGGTATTTTTTGTAAAGTACTTGGTGACGTAACTTCAGAGGCTTGGAGGTTGAAGTCTAGATTCAGGGATAATATTCTCAGGGTTAGGTTATCATGATAAAGTCCAAACTCTGGAGGAATATAGCTCAAGGTTAGTTTACCTTGAAGAGTTCATGCTATAGAAGAGAGCGGTGATTCAAGAGGGTTGTGCTTGTATTACATGTTTGTGAATTAGTTGTAATTTACTTTCTCATTCTAGTGGATTCAAATTATGGACAAAGTCCCGAGTAGTAAGAAATGAACCTCGCTAACAAACATTGTTGTTATTTACTTTTTTTCTCTATAATTCTCGACTCATCCGCACTTACATAATGTTTTCGAAAAATTAAAAAAAAAAAATGTTTCTACATAGCTTGTTTTAACATTTTCTACATAGATTTGTAGTTTTACTTAAGCTCTGCAATATGTAAGTTTTCTTTTGGATTTACTGATACACGGTTTTCAGAGGTACAAGTACATGTTCTATGTTCAATATGTCGTTATATTCAGAGACCCACTTGAAAAAGGGGGGGGGGGGGGTCAACTAACGTAGGTTAAATATAATTAGATGAATTTTAGGCTGTATATTATATTAAAAACAGCTCTGTTGGTCGCTTAGTCTTTCCCTTGCCACCTTTTCCCTTTCCTGCACCTTGTGTTCTCCATTTTTAGTTTAAATTAATTAGATTCTAGGTTTTTTGTTAGACTCTAGACTTAGGTATAAATTATGACCTAGATTAAAAATTCTTCATGGTCCGCCATTGGTTACACTGATAATGTATAATGTGAATATAGCTTATCGATACGAACTCACTTGACATTGGTAAAATATCTTTATTTTTAACATATGTAGACAACATGTAATTCAGACTAGGACGATGAACTAATAATGTGTGTGTGGCAGTTGTAGGATAAAAAAGTAAAATCATATATTTAAGTTAAAAGTTTGCCTTCTCTAACTAATTATATTTATCTTTTTGTAGAAATGCATTTGAACAACTATATTATATATGATATCTAGTTTAGGTTATAAGATCGGAAGTTGCTATGCCCTTTTTCAAAAAAAAAAAAAAAAAAAATCGGAAGTTGCTAATCTTAGTGAGACCTTTAACAAATTCAGAAAAGTTGTGTTGAATGTGCGATTCAGCTCTGGTCAACAAAAGGAAGAAAGAAGTCTCGTATCTCAAACTATCTGGTTAAATTGGTATAACTGTGGTTTGATATGAGTTGATTGTAATTTCCAGTTAAGTCCTTATCAAACAAGTATTAAAAGAGCAATATAGAATCTTGTGAAGTTGTCTACGTGTGAAAAAATATTTGACCAATCAAAATATTTCATTACGTCATGTCAATGAGGAATTTCTGAATTTGGGCTTCAGTTTTTAAAGATCCTCAGGTTAATATAAGACGCCCATGAAGCCCATTTCATTGAAAGTAGCATTACCTGATTCTTCACCCCGATTCTTCATCTACGCGATACCCCCTTTTTCATTTTGTACAAATCCTAAATTTCCTACAACGATTCGTAAACCCTTTGCTCTTCCTCTTCTTCGATTCTGTTTCACGCCTAGAACCTAACAAAGCCTCGATCGAAGCCACCGTCAAATCTGTTGTTTAACGAGACTACTGCTCCTCCCCCGGCTGACTCATCACCACCGCCACCCTCTGATCCAGAACCGTCACCTCCTCCTCCTTCCGATTCACTGCTACCTCCCCTGCCTTCTATTCTACCGCCACTCCGCCACAAATTTCAAATCCTCCACCAGCTGACTCAACCAACTCCCCACCGCCGCAGACATCAACCAATACCCCGTCTCCTCCTCCTCTTACTCCTCCAGCGGATTCGGAAACACCACCAGGTTCACCAAACGAACCCAACAACCCTCCTCCATATCCAGACGTTCAGTCTCCTCCTCCTCCTCCTTCAACAAACCCTGAAACCCCACCGCCGGAATCTTCTACTGCTACACCATCAGAACAACCAAACTTACCTCCGACTCCACCGTCAGACCCCACCAACTCTCCCCCAGTCCAACCATCACCACCAACTAATTCTCCACCGCCGAGCTCACTCCTTCCACCGGCCAAATCTAACGGTGGACCAGTCCTGTCTCCATCAGTCCCCAGCCGAGATACGCCTCCAACAAACAACACCAATGGAAACAGCTATCAAGGGAAGAGTATGGTCAGCATGGCTGTCTCCGGCGTCGCCATCATGGCCCTTGTAGCCATTGCGTTCTTAGTGAGAAGAAATAAAAAGAGAAACATTGATAGCTATGCTCACTCACACTACTTGCCACACCCTAACTTCTCCGTCGAGTCAGGTTTATAAAAATATCTCTGTTTTAATCTCTCTGTTTCTTAGCTTTGATTAATTTTCTTGAAAATATAGATGGATTCTTTTACGGACAAGACCATAGTAAAGTCTACTCTGGTCCTGGTGGTTCAATGTACAACTCACAGCAGCAGCAGCAATATTCTTCTAACAGCTACGGTAGCCAAAGAGGTCATCAAATGCATTCCAGTGACTCTGCGATCCTCGGAACTAGCCAGACTCATTTCAGTTACGAAGATCTTGCGAAGATAACTCAAGGCTTTGCTCGACACAGCATTCTTGGAGAAGGAGGGTTTGGTTGCCTATACAAAGGTACGTTGCATGATGGTAGAGTTGTTGCGGTGAAGCAGCTTAAAGCTGGAAGCGGACAAGGAGAGAGTGAGTTGAAGGCTGAAGTTGAGATCATCAGTTGTGTTCATCATCGGCATTTGGTGTCTCTGGTTGGTTACTGTATTTCGGACCAGCATAGATTGCTTATCTATGAGTATGTTTTCAATCAAACTTTGGAGCATCATTTGCATGGTATTGCCATTTCTGTTATAGATAAGGGACTAGCTCGCGTTTTACGGCGGTTTTGGTTTTTCGCGGTTTTGTGCTTAACTCGGATGATCGTGTAATCGACGTTTGTTTCGTTCTTCCAAGATAACGATCTTCCGAGTTTTCCGCGGATTTCCTTCGTTCGGAAATCTTTTTTAGAATTATAAAACGATTTCTCGAGTTTTATAAAACGACTTCTCGAGTTTTATAAAACGATTTCTCGAGTTTTATAAAACGATTTTTGTATTCCGTGGAAAGTAATGATTTTATCTTTACAGAAGTTATCGTAGACATTGATTTCGAGATTACGGTTTTTGACACCAACAGACCACTTTCTCATTCTCATTCTCTTTCTCATTCACATTCACTTTACTCTTTCATTTCCCCTTTAACGTTCACTTTCACTTTTACTCATTCATTAAATTTAGACTCCTTAACACTAGACGCCACCCATTCTCGGTGTCTCATGCAATACACATCACAAAGCATTGATACCTAATGACATCTCAATATCATACATCCATCGATCACATATCACAAGTACGTCTATCACCTTAGATGCCAATAGATATACTTTACATTCATCAGTCACTAAATCATTCACTTCTTTCTAGCAACCTATCTTTCATTCACAATCATCACATGGGACACAAATCAATCTCACAATCATTCACGAACAATCATTAACCACAACAATACAAGGCAGTTCATTAAGTCCCATTTAACAGTATGAGGGTTCTTATGCATCATGATTCATTCATCTATCAACCTAACGCCCATTATGATCTATCAACCTAACTTCCAAACAAGTACTATCCAAACCCTAATTCCAACATCAACCAGAATAAAAATTATGAGAATAGATCTGGATTCGAACCACCTCACCTTAGCAATAAACTGAGATCTGGATCTGGAAACAAGAGAGAAGGGGATGAGATCTGGAACTCTCCTCAACACACAACACCACCACCATCGGCTGCTCACGGCAAGGAAAGAGAAAGGAAGGTGCAAGGAGAGAGAAAGAAGAGAGAGAGGGAGCTGACGGCTAGGGCTTTCGGTCTCTGGGAATTCTCTACAGGGCTTCGCTTCAGGTTTTGGATGGGACAAGAGGAAGGGGCTGCAATCCTTTTTATAATGAGTTGCAAGAAACCCTAGGTTTTATGGGCAAGTGGGCCGTAGAGAGGCCCATTAGTCTTCCAAAAATTTTGGGCCCGGTATCGGATTGTTACAATCTCCCCCACTTAATAGAATTCGTCCCCGAATTCTGCGTGCCAAGAACTCAGCCCATATACATCATAACCAACGTGGACATCATGTGTCACTTGTTCACTAACAGTTTCTGTAACTTCATGGTTCACTAACCTTACGGGGGTCCCTCATCATTTTAAATTCCATCCACCCTTCTAAGTCAACATTTCCTTGCGGTTCACCAACTTCCCCCATACTATGCTTATACTTCCGGTGAGACTTATTCTTTCTGCTGGCATCGAGATGTCAGCTAGGGTACCTCTACAATCTTTTGCTCGACCAATGTGTGGTATCATCGTGAAATCAAAATATCTGTTGTGGTGTGTTGCCGGCTTGCTACCATGCTTCCGCTGCGCTACTCTGATTATCCTTGCTCCTTTTATGCTCACATGTACTTCGGTTCAGGCATCCCCATCTGTGGATTCCACCATCCGAAGGTGACTCCCAGCACGTCCTGGCGGCAGTCTTGTGATCCTCCTAGCTCATATTGGCTATTCCACTTGCCATGTAGTTCTTGGATCTCCGTTCAACTTGGACTCCAGATCTCCCCCACTTTATATCAAGCTTACATGACCTTACATGATCCGTCCTTCCAGCCTCATACTGGTACCTCCATATGTCTCATTCCATCGCGGTATGTATAGTTGTTGTAATCACCCACCATGGCTTGCTAGTGAGACGTGTAGACATCATCCCGAGAAAGCCATCATATCCCTTTATGAACATCAACCTTTTTACCCCGAGAAGATCCTCCATTTCATTTCTCTTACTACCGTTTTCTAGCTCCCTACATCTCAGATTTCCTGATGTACCCTGGCGAACCTTGACACTTACCATCCACTGAATTCTGAAAAATTAACTGATGACTTCAACCAATTCTCATTATGCTCCTCATGATCGTGAACGACCCCGTGCTCCATAACCATATGGCCCTTAGCTTATACTCCATACTTTTTTCCTTAACATTCTCGTCCGAAGATACCTTTTCACCCTCGCAAACTCCATCTCCTTATGACGCTTGTTGGTATACCTGTAGACTGTTGTGAGCTTCATCTAGTTCTCCATCAAATATTTCCACTTGCTTAGTAGCTTCCTAGGTCAATTCCTGGCTATAGCTCGTAGCTCTCCCCCACTTGGGTTTCAACAAGGGATTCCAATACCGCCTCCCACCAAAGTCTCGTATGGGGACATATATATTCTTGAGTGGTAGTTATTATCGTACACAGATTCCACTAATGGTAGTTATCTTCTCCACTTTCCTTAACAAACCATACATACATGCACGCCACACGCGTTTAGCACCATGTCTTTAGCGATCAGAAAATAAGGTCCAATGTTACGATGTCCCCATTGTAGAACATGTAATCCTTGCAGTAATCCGTCATCGATTCATCGTTCTGCCTTTCTCAACTAACCTACAGCCACTGTAGAATCCCTGAAACCACAATCCTTTATCATCTTGTTCCAGTGGTAGTCCTTCTATGATACTTCATACATCTTATGTCCATGTATATGGTATGTCGCTAACTACTGAGTTTCCCCCAAGTTCTCACTCTCCATAACTCTTATCATTCAAATTACTCAGTAAAGGTAGATTCTAAAAACCTACGAACTCATCTCATAACGCATTAAGTACAAGTCATAAGTTAGTATTACCTAGCATTCATCTAACAAGATTCCCTATGCTCTTTAATCCACAAGTTCCCAAGTTGACCGCATGTACACCTTATCGTCTTACCCATCTTCACCATTCGCTGTTCAACCGACCCTCGCCAAACCGGCACATGCCAAATTAGCACAAAAATTGCATATTCACAATCACTCCGAAGAAAGTATCATAACTCCAGCTTATATACAACACCATCCACTGACATTCGGCCTCCACACGTCTCATACTATCTTTGATGTTCTTTTACCCCCATGGTATCTACCACAATTGGTGCATCCTTTAGAATTACAATTGACATGCTCTCTATCTCTTTCTCTTCCTCCATATGGCACTTGGTTACACTTGATATTGTAGTAGTACGAGGTTCTGCAATGCTTGAAGGTTAGGATGCTCATTGAATGATGTTTGTCTTACACACTCCGGTGTCCTTTGGCGTGACGTATACTGAACGAATTAGAATATAACCTACTAACTTAGGGGAAGCTCCTTTTAAAGACATTGGATTTAGCACAAGAAGAATCTTGCAACTATACGGATTCGATCAGAACCATACTAGAAGTATAGATATAACGGGTGGTTTAAAAAATCGTTTCGCATCTTTGAAAATATTCTAAAACTTTCTAAAACTTATTTTTCTTGAAAGCAACAAAACCAAGAACTTTTTGAAAACATTGGACTGCTGACCCCTTAGGATAGTACTAATGGATCTTAACCCCCGCTCTGATACTAATTGTAACAACCCAGTCCCCCAGCGTCGGACCGAGGTTTAGCGAAAGGGTGTTACGAACACGTGTCTACTCAATTAGACAACCCTACGTGTCCCTTACTGGTCCCAGGAATCGGCAGACGCATCTTTTGATGAAATCCGATCCACCTGTATCCACATACTTCTACTTAAAGTCATGCGCATAGGGAAAACATAAATGGAGGGATGAGCAATTGGGATTACTCAGTGAAGTGACTCTAGTCCATCATGTCCGCATAGCACTCTACTCTAACTCATACGGGAATCAAGACCGACTAGCCACTACATTTAATATGCACATACAAGCCGTACAACCACATTTCACATAGCACTCTAGCACCCTAACGTTCATACACCACAAGGACTCAGTCGTTGCTTCACAAAACTCATTCATGCATTCAACCTACCTCCTAGACTCACCAATCACCTTAGACCTCTAGGACCTATGACCGTTTACGGATGTCCCTACACATTCCGGCCTATCCTGAAAGGGGTGCCCACTCTAGGGAAACTATTACCCCTCCAGTTTCCTAGTAATCACCCGCAGGAGGCTCGTTGGCCCACGTGCAACACTGTCCACCCGCGGTTCCCGCCACATACACAGTCAGATGGTCACAATTTGCCACGACTCGGCATTGACTCAATCTTAAGGCGCATATCCCTATCCTTACCCCGCCTTGGCGGTCGCCGTCCATACACGGCCTTTCACTTTCCTCCCACGGGCACTTCATATGTGGGCCATCACATCCTAGACTCTAGACGCCCACCCGTTCTCGGTGGTCCAAACAAGACTTCAAACAAGTTCATTGACGCGACCACTTTCTCATTCTCATTCTCTTTCTCATTCACATTCACTTCCCCTTTAACGTTCATTTTCACTCTAACGTTCACTTTCACTTTTACTCATTCATTACATTTAGACTCCTTCTTAAGACTAGACGCCACCCATTCTTGGTGTCTCACGCAATACACATCACATAGCATTGATACTCAATGACATCTCAATATCATACATCCATCGATCACATATCACAAGTACGTCTATCACCTTAGATACCAATAGATATACTTTACATTCATCAGTCACTTCATTCACTTCTTTCTAGCAACCTAGCTTTCATTCACAATCATCACATGGGACACAAACCAATCTCACAATCATTCACCAACAATCATTAACCACAACAACACAAGGCAGTTCATTAAGTCCCATTAAACAGTATGAGGGTTCTTATGCATCATGATTCATTCATCTATCAACCTAACGCCCATTATGATCTATCAACCTAATTTCCAAACAAGTACTATCCAAACCCTAATTCCAATATCAACCAGAATAAAGATTATG